TATTCTATTCTATTCTATTCTATTCTATTCTATTCTATTCTATTCTACTCTACTCTACTCTACTCTACTCTACACTATTCTACTCTACACTATTCTACTCTACTGTACTCGATTCTATTCTATTCTATTCTATTCTATGCTACTCTATTCTACTCTACACTATTCTATTCTATTCTACGCTACTCTACTCTATTCTACTCTACACTATTCCATTCTACTCGATTCTGTTCTATTCTATTCTATTCTATTCTATTCTATTCATCTCTGTTCTATTCTATTCTACGCTACACTATTCTATTCTATTCTATTCTATTCTATTCTATTCTATTCTATTCTATTCTATTCTATTCTATTCTATTCATCTCTGTTCTATTCTATTCTATTCTATTCTATTCTATTCTATTCTATTCTATTCTATTTGCTTGACAAATCAATACAATAAATCAATAAACTTCCCAGTATCCAGTACTATAACAAAGGTTTCTGGAAGAGGAAAGAGGAAGTTTATTTATTTATCAAAATTATATGATCAAACATCTTACTGATGAATGACTTTGGGCAATGTACAACCCACAAATTAAACAATCTAACACTAGCAGAACAGAGAAGTCTACTGACTACTGGCAAATTTAAAGTGGCCACAAGAAAGAATAAATGAAGAACAGAAAGGTGGCCTGGGAAGTCAACCGTTACACGGCCAGTACTTTTAAAAAAAAATATCAGAGAAAACAGATAATTCTAGGACCTGGCATTGGCTTAGAACAGGAAAGTTGAAGGAAGAAACAATGGGGTGGATTCTGGTTGAATCTGGATTCTGATTCTGGCAAGCCCTAAGAACAAATGTATACAAAGCCAGAAGTTGAGAAGACAGCAATAGACAACAAATACTGTCTCTGCAAAGAAGCAGAATAAACATGCAAGAAGATCCAACCAGACTGATTGTAAACAACGGCACGACAAAGTAGCAACAATGGTGTATTGGAAGATCTGACAGAAATATCCTTTGCAAGCAAGCAAGAACTGGTGGGACCAATTTGCATGGACCTTTGGGGGCTCTCTTCACTCCTAACCTGGTTCCTGGGTGAAAATCCAGGTCTTTATGGTCTTCTGGAAGGTTAACAGCATGGGAGAAGCTTCAGTCTCTTGGCAAGATCTTTGTCCAAAGATCTGCCACTCCAGAAAAAGTGGTCCTACCAGGTGGCCATGTTTAATGGAAGGGACCTGAAGTTCTTCCACCTCTCCTGATGTGGTGGGATAGACAGATACCCTCCAGGAGAGGCGGTCTTACCCCTAGCAGAACAAGAGAACAGCTCACCTGTCCGAAGTTCCAGGGGATGGAGATGATGTAGTCCTTCGATCCTTGGTAGATCAGGCCTTGTTGGGTCAGCACATACTCAACGCGGTCCTCATCGTTCTCCATATACGTAGAGTCCTCTGTTGAAAAAAGAGGAAGCTCAGATGCAGGAGACAGTTTGGAGATGGAGAGAAGCCATCACCCCAGAGAACTTCTGCAGAACTTCTGTGTCCACCTTCCCCTGGGGCAGGGGGGCCTTCAAACTTGGCAGCTTTAAGACTTGTGGACTTCAACTCCCAGAATTCCTCCTCCAGTCATGTTAGCTCATGAATTCTGGGAGTTGAAGTCCACAAGTCTTAAAACTTGCCAAGTTTGAAGAACCTTGCCCTGGGGCCCGGTCTTCAAGAATATTGGCCATCTACCCTACCCACCGCCAAGGAGGAGGATCATGGGAGTTGGGAATCCAGCCCATGTCCCAAGGACACCCCACAGAGGAAGACCAACCTGAAAAAACCACCTTGAAGCAAAGAATGAAGAACGATAGATGACTTCTCCTGAAAAATAGAGCTAGTTCATTCTTTGCCATCAGGCAAAACAGAGAGATTTCCTCTTATCAGCAGCGGAGAAAAGATTCAGGAAAGTGAGGATAATGGGAATTGATTAGTTTATCAGCAATCCCCTTGCAGAAAATTGTGTGTTGTTGGTTTGTTGGCTTGCGTTTGGAGGGGGCTCTCCTCAAACTCCTGATATGAAAAATAACAGCTATGTCTTCAAGGTTGATTGAGATCATCCCTTGAGGTTCTCCACGATGTTCTGAAAGTCCGTCGGACTTCAGGTGTCCTTGGGCACTTGGACAAGGGGACCATTGGTAGCCTTCAGTCTGGCCCCAGAAGGTAAAGGTGACCCCGGGAGGTGTCCACAGGGCAAGTCAAAAAAAGTCAAGGTGGCAGCTAAAAGGATGCGATTGAAACTCTGAATGGTGGAGTCTTCGTCACACCTTTGTGGCTTCCAGCTTGATTTGTTTTTGACAATCTCCTCCTCCTCCTCGTCCTCCTCGTCCCCACAAACCCCACTCCCTTCTAGCACTGATGATGTTGCCTAGTTGGGTCATGAAACGTCTGTAAGAAAGCAACCAAGCTCAGAGAGCACCAAGGACCCCATACCTCCTCCTCCTCCTCCTCCTCCTCCTCCTCCTCCTCCTCCTCCTCCTTTCTCCCAATTCTCTGCCCTCCTAGCACTGATGCTATTCCCTAGTTGCTCTTGACGTTAATAAACTTGTGAAGTTTATTAACTTTATTTATTTATTTATTTATTTGATTTGTCAATCACTTACAAGATAATAGGTATAAGTATATACATAGTTATGAATACACGAAATGGGTACATATAAGAAAAATAAAAGAAACAATAGGACAGGGACAGTAGGCACATTGGTGCGCTTATGCACACCCCCTACAGACCTCTTAGGAAAGGGGTGAGGTCAATAGGAGACAGTCTAAGGTTGAAGTTTTTGGGGTCTGGGGAAGAAACCACAGAGTCAGGTAGAGAATTCCAGACATTGACCCCTCTGTAATTGCTGAAGTTGTATTTCCTGCAATCAAGTTTGATGAGAAGATTAATAGTGATAGTAGTGCAGACTTTGTAAACAGTTGGACAGTGTTGAGGGAATTATTTGTTTAGCAGAGTGATGGCATTTGGGGAAAAAACTGTCCTTGTGTCTAGTTGTTCTGGTGTGCAGGGCTCTATAGCGTCGTTTTGAGGGAAGGAGTTGAAACAGTTTATATATCCAGGATGTGAGGGGTCTGTAGATATTTTCACAGCCCTCTTTTGGACTCCTGCAGGATATACAGGTCCTCCATGGAAGGCAGGTGAGTAGCCATTGTTTTTTTCTGCAGTCCTAATTACTCTCTGAAGTCTGTATCTGTCCTGTTGGGTTGCAGAACCGAACCAGACAGTTATAGAGGTGCAGATGACAGACTCCATCATTCCTCTGAATCAAGCAGCTCCTTGGGCAGTTTTAGCTTCCTGATATATATACCACATTGATTAACATTTTCTAATTTTTACTGTCGATTGACGCCTCTGCATCTTCTTTCTAACCACTCATACCAAAGGTTCCATATCTTATAGTACTCGATTTCTTCTTTATCTTTTAATATCATTGTTAGCCTGTCCATTTCAGCGCATTCAAGGATTATCATTATTGTTATTGTTGTTGTTGTTGTTGTTGTTGTTATTATTATTATTATTATTATTATTATTATTATTATTATTATCTCAGAGAGAATGGTATCCTCTTTCCAGTTTTGCACAAATGAGATTCTGGCAGTGGTTACCATATGGAGAATGATATGTTGGAAGTTCCTACTAACATTAGATCCTATTATACTTAATCCGAAAAGTTCTGGTCTTAATTCAATTCTTTCTCTAGTTATTTCTTCCAACTATGTTTTAATTTTAAACCAATATTTCCGGGCTTGGGGACACGTCCACCACATATGAAAATAAGTTCCTGGGCTGTGATTACGTCTCCAACACTTTGCCCATATAGCAATGAAGATATTTTAATCGTATTTGTTTTGTCTTTGCAAGAGGTCGGTGAGACCACGCAGTGGGACGGTGCAGCCGGCCCCTGCCAGCACATTCCAGCCACATGCCGCGAGGAGTTTTGTTTGCACAGGGAAAGAAAGAGGGCCTAACATTTGGGCTATTTCGATGTTTGGTCTCGGCTGCCTGTGAAAGATTCATGCAAAAAGTCGCCTTTCGCGAAGCGATGTTGCAAGAGAGACCCCGGAGGGACGCCAACCCCCTTCGGCTAAAAGTTTAGATTTTTTTTTTGCTTCCAAAGGGTTCTTTGTGATTCTTTTCGCTCTGGGGTTGAGTGAGAAAGAACACAGAATAACAAAGAGCAAAGGGATCTCGCCTTCCAGGTCCTGGTTGTCCCACAAAGTGCTTTTTTTTTTTCAAGAGGCAGGTGGATTTTCTGGGTTTTTTTTCTTCTTCTTTTGAAGACGTTTCGCTTCTCATCCAAGAATCTTCCTCAGCTCTGATTGGATGGTGGGGAAGGGAAGGATTGATCCTCCTTGTAGACAGCTGGTCATTTGCATCCTTTTAGAGGGTCGTTGAGGCCACGTGGAGATATGTCTCTGTCCCCGAGTCACCTGAATGGTGCAAATAGGTGTGGAGCCTTCTCCACATCCGTTTGCCTGAAAACATCTGCAGAAACATTCGGCAGCCAAGAAAGCTCCACACCCATTACTCAGGGGACACAGATAAACCTCCAAGTGGCCTCAACGACCCCCTAAAAGGATGCAAATGACCTGCTGTCTGCAAGGAGCACAAATCCTTCCCTTCCCCACCGTCCAGTCAGAGCTTAAGAAGCTTCTGGGATGAGAAGCGAAACATTTTCCAAGAAGAAAAAAGAAGGGAGTCCAGTTTTCTCCTGAAAAAGTAGCTTTGGGGGTGACCCTGGAGGTCTTCTAGTCCAACCCCCTGCCCAAGCAGGAGATCTTATACCACTCCAGACCAGGGGCTGTCTAATTTCTTCTTTAAAAAAATCTCCAGTGGTGGAATACCCATAACCTCTGGAGACAAGTTGTTCCCCTGGTTAATCGTTCTCACTATCAGGAAAATTCCCTCTGTAATTCTAGGTTGCTTCTCTCCTCGATGTGCGTTTCCATCCGTTGCTTCTTGTCCTCCCTTCAGGGGCTTTTGGAGAAGAGCTTGACCCCCTCCTCTTCTTTGTGGCAGCCCCCTCAAATATTGGAAGACTGCTATCATGTCATCCCTGGTCCCTTCTTCTCACGAAACTACTCACACCCAATTCTTCATACGCTTTAAGCCTCCAGTTTTCCTAATCGTCTGAGTTGCTCTTCTCTTCACGCTTTCCAGAGTCCCAACATCTTCTTTATATTGTGGTGACCAAAAATGGACGTCAACAACATCGACGTCCATCCATCTGTCAGGCTTGAATCCAAGATTGTGGTCACTGCAGAATAACAGAGTTGGAAGAGACTTTGGCTCCATCTTCTTTGTGACAGCCTTCAAGGAGTAGAAGATGTCATCTCACCGCCAGACCTTCCCTTCGTTAGACTAGACACCCCATGTCCCTTCAATTGTTCAACATATGGCTTAGCCCCCAGACTCCTGTTCTTCCTTGTGGGTCTCCTCTGCCCGAGAGATGCTCGCGAGGAGATTGGCCATCTTCTCTGGACTACTGAAGACCATCCTCGTCTGGAGATTGAAGCACAATGGATATCCCGTCCCCAAGACTCTTGGAAGTATCTTGGCCAATATCTTTGGGGTCTTCAGAGAATATGGGAGCCTCGCAGAGAGGGGCGTTTGAACGATGCAGGATAGAGGGGGTTAATATCTCCCATGTTCCTCTTCACGATCTTGTTGTTAGTGGCGAAGTGGTGTCCGACCCATCGCGACCCCATGGACAACGTTCCTCCAGGTCTTCCTGTCCTCTACCATCTTCTGGAGTCCATTTAAGCTCAGTGACTCCATCCAGCCCCCTCCTTTTCTGCCATCCCCTTCTTCTCCTTTTTCCCTCCATCGTTCCCAGCATTTGGCTCTTCTTCTCCAGGGAGTCCTTCCTTCCTTCTCATGAGGTGGCCAAAGTCTTTGAGTAGGATCTGGCCTTCTAAAGAGCAGTCAGCCAGGGTTAATCTCTCTCTAGGACTGACCGGTTAGATGGCCTTGCAGTCCAAGGGACTCACAGGCATCTTCTCCTCTCGCCCCAGAGTTCAAAGGCCTCCATTCTTTGGCGCTCAGCCTTCCTTAGAGTCCAACTTTCACAGCCATGAACTGCAAGTGGGAAAACCAACTTAGTCTTCACCGTCTTAGTCGGTGGCAAATTATGGACAGGAAGATGGCACCCTGCTATCTCAGTTCAAAAGTCCTTTGGAGTTGATATCCTGCCATGGACAGGGGGAGGTTGGACTAGAAGACTTCCTAGGACCCCTCTAACCCTGTTATGTTCTCTGCTTTGGAAGCCACCAATGGCGCATTAGGTGAAATTTCAGGGAAAGGGTGTTTCTTGGAGGCAGCTCTTGGGCGTTGTCTTCCCATAAAATACAGGTAAGAAAAATAAAACCATGAAAGTAATAACATCTCTCCTAAAGATATCATTGAAATAACCAGAGATGGCCCTGAGTCCAGATACAATGATGGCTCAGTGGCCCCAAAATTTGTAGAGTTGTTTGCAAAAAGGAGTCCAGCAAATGCATATTCATTCATACGATAAACGCCATTGCAAAAACCAATCCCGACGACAAACAACTTCGCTCAAGACCAAACTTATCCAGACTGCAAAGAATCTGCTCCCATAAACTCCACAACGAACTCAAAAGACATCTAGACAACGGAGAGAAGGATCTCTACATTGACTACCGCGCTGATTGTATCAAAAGTAAATCACACAACCCACAACTCCACATTCAACCCTACCTCATCCAACCCACCAACACTCAAAACTAGGCACGCATGCCCCTAACTACCTCAATTCCAACTACAACTGCCCCTGTCAATGAATACTTCAGCTTCAACCATAACAACACAAGAGCAATATTAGTACAGTTATTAGTACAGTTGAGACAGTCCAGAAATATTTCACAAGAAGAGTTCACCACTCCTCTACTCATTGCAGAAGACCTGATGCCACCAGACTTGAAATTCTAGACCTAGAAAACTTAGAACTACACCGCCTTCGGTCCGATCTAAGTATAGTATATAAAGTATATACATTGCAATGTCCTACCTGTCCATGAATACTTCAGCTTCAACCATAACAACACAAGAGCAAACAATAGATACAAACTCATGGTTAACTGCACCAAACTTGATTGCAGGAAATATGACTTCAGCAACAGAGGAGTCAATGTCTGGAATACTCGACCTGACTCTGTGGTTTCTTCCCCAAACCCCAAAAACTTTAACCTTGGACTGTCTACTATTGACCTCACCCCTTTCCTAAGAGGTCTGTAGGGGGCGTGGATAAGCGCACCAACGTGCCTACCGTCCCTGTCCTATTGTTTCTTTTATTCTTCTTATATGTATCCATTTCATATATTCATAACTATGTTTCACTTATCCCTATTATCTTGTATGCAATTGACAAACCAAATTTTAAAAAAATAAAATAAATAAATAAATAACAGATACCATCAACGCGGCTACTGGATATAATCCTTTCCGCTTAGCAAACCCTTCCTGGCCTCGGGGCAAATATCTTTGGTAATGTGAGATGCCTTCCCTTGGAACTGCCAAAGTGCAATTAACACATGGCACCTTCTCTTTCGCCAGGGCTGCATCCTAAGAGGTTGTTTATCTAACCACGGTTTCCAAAGTACACAATAATTAGTCGAGTTTCTTGGGCAACTTTCTAGACCAGAAGAAACTGAACCACATGACGGAACTTGTTCACGGGAGCTCAGCAGGTCCGTGTGCTCAGCCAAGGATGGTGAAGAAGGGGCTTTGCAAGCCAGAGATCCCAGGCTCAGTACAGGAAGGAAGGAAGGAAGGAAGGAAGGAAGGAAGGAAAGAAGGAAGGAAGGAAGGAAGGAGAAAAGGGAGGGGGGAAGGAAGGAAGGAAGGAAGGAAGGAAAGAAGGAAGGAAGGAAGGAAGGAAGGAAGGAAGGAAGGAGGGGAGGGAGGGAAGGAAGGAAGGAAGGA